GGATGGATGGATGGATGGATGGATGGATGGATGGATGGATGGATGGATGGATGGATGGATGGATGGATGGATGGATGGATGGATGGATGGATGGATGGATGGATGGATGAATGAATGAATGAATGAATGAATGAATGAATGAATGGATGGATGGATGGATGGATGGATGAATGAATAAGGGAAGGAGTACAGGAAGGAAGGAAAGAAGGAAGAAAGGAATAGATGGATGTATGGGTGGAGGGAGGGAGAGTGGGATAAACGAAACACTCCCTAAAACTGAATAAACGATCACGGATTGTTTGATTGGTTGACTACTGATCATTGCTATACTATAACTTAATGCGCGAACCGTGAAAGACTAAGTAACTGGAAGTGTTCGTGGTGGTTATTAGCTACAAGCCTGCCCTGTTTAGGTTTTTATCGGTGTCGTGTTAATGTCCTCTAAAGTTTATATCAACTTAGCACGATCAGCTTTGCAGATTTATGTTCTCTTAGTATATTTTTGCTTATCAGATTTCCTTGAGATCCTACGTCCTGCGAAATATTCGCTTGCGGTCCTTTGAAGTTAATGCCATTTCAGTTGTTATATTTTAGCTAAAACCCCTGCTAGAAAATTCCACCGTATTCAATGGACTAAAGATACGGAGAGATTATTGAAATAAGCTTCCTTTTCGAAAAGGCCTCTTTTTTGGGCTATTACTTTTTTCGATTCTTTGTGTTTTGCCTGGTATACGTCTTCTTCATCAGCCCTTATAGATCCATTCGGTGATGATATTTTTATTTATGGCTCTTTCATTTTACTCAGCTAGTTCAGACTGTTTTTGAAAGTTGCTCTTTTTGCCAAGTTTCGATGTCTCCATAGATCGCACGCCATGTGTTTTAGACCCTCTCTTGCAAATATACAACTTTTTTTCAACTAACTATAATATATATGCGGGAATTAATAGCTGTTGGTGGCCAGCGTGATAATTCAGGGACACCCAACTACGGGTTTCTCCCAAAAATACATTGAAAACGCTTTTTAGACTATATATACAGATTAGTTTTACATCTCTTGACATTTCATTCTAAGCGGTTCGGTGTCATCCTAGGGTAACTCAAGCCTTTTTTGAATTTACAATGGCCTCAGTATATTTTCTCGAAAACTTTACGAAGGTGAGAATTTTTCCTAATATCAGCAGTTACAGTTAATAAAATTGCGCGGTAATTTTGCAAAGAACCTCAGTTACGTCAAAACTATAGTGTTTCAGTCAAAAAGTATCATCAAGAGCCATGGCTCTTGGTGTCACCGATCTGATATATTGAAAAAAAAAAACAAACAAACAAACCGGCAAACAAAGCTAGAGCTTTCCTTTCTTCTATGGCTCTTAGTCTTTTTTGTACCTCCGACAGACTGACCATCACATTATTTTTAGACGATTTTCGTTGACGATGCAACAAGGTACGTTTTTCACCATCGCCAATTTTAGCCCCATCATCAACCACTAGGTCGACAATTAGTTCTCTTTGACTTTGCTCTGACTGTGAACGAAAATGGCACAGCACATCACAAACAAATCCACGAGACGCAGGCCGTAACATGTCGGGGAAGCTTTCATGGCGACTGGATGAGTCAGTACAACGAATAACTCTTTGAATTTGATCGCAGAAACAAATGTGCCTTTCACTTACACCAGAACAGAAATGTTGTGATATGTACGCAGTAGCCAGATATCAAAGGAAATCCGCCAGGTTAATATAAGTTTGAAACTTTTCGCCCTTGTGACGCAACACAGTAAGATGGAAGTAAGATGGAAGGGTGGGTGGGGGGGTGGGGTGGGGGGAAGGGTTTGGGGTTGGGGGTTGGGGGTTGGGGCACTGTCAAAACAATGGGAGTCCCTAGTAACGAAATTTTTATTTATTTATTTTTTTATGGAATGAGAGTATTTACTCGGCGGGTGTGCATGACCACCTTCAATTTGGTTGGTATAGGTTAATTTGAATACTCTTCATCCGACATATATTGTGGTGCGTGATTCCCAATTCAATTTGCATCAATCGTCGAATGGCATAATCAAATATAGTCTTTACATGCATATGATTCCGACTGCTTTTACGGACGATAAAAACAACTTTTAATAAAAAATACATGTATACTCAGTTCTAAATAATTGTTAATTTTATTTATCGTTTATACACCACTGCGATCTTATCACACTGTATTGCGTGTTATTATTCGCATTAATCGGCTCTAACTATAATATACTACGTACTGTCACTAAAGTAAAAACCATGGCAGTTGACAACGCGTTTGATTAGCATTTCGTCACGGCGCGATGGAAACAGGCGAACTAAAATACGGAAGTAAAGTAGTTGCATCTTGCTGAAACGATTGACTTTTTTAAAAAACATTGTATAAGAAAAACCATTGACAACAATCAAAATACATGAACATGATTCAGATGATTGTGCAGTCAGTCACACAGGAAAAACGAACTTCAGTTAGTAAGATTTTATCCGTATAGAGACGGGAGAGAAGAAATGACTGTGCCTATTTTAAATAAAGGCACAAACCGATTTTTCTGGTTGGACAGGGCACTAACGTTGCCGGACCGTAACTATTTTCCACAATTTTCTAACCTAGTGGACAGATCTGAGTTCGACACCGCGCGCGCAAAGGAGTACGCACAAATATAAACAAATAAAAAAATAAAAAATAAACGAATAAATAAAAATAAGAAATAAAAAGGAATCCTTCTTCCCTCCACAATCTCAGGGAAATCTTTATTTGGTTTCGAGGAGTCAGTTGTGAGTCGTTGCTGGTCCCAGGTTATTACATATTGCGCAATCAATAACCTCATTGTCACACTGAACAGCGGACTGCCATTTGAGCAAACCTGTTCTGTAAGCTGAACATAAATGGACATTTTCAACACGGCGGCTCAAGACCCTTGAGAGCAGTTCGTCCCGATCGGTATTAGGGAGCTAATTAAAGCAAACGCGTTGGGGAACACACGTCAACCGGAAGTGAGGTGTTCTCCCTTCTAATATATCTTGACCCCGTCAAATTCGCAATGCTTCGCTGTCTTGCTGTTATAGAGACGACTTGCCCAAAATGAAGGCGAACTACTGCCGCATATTGTAAAATGTCCACTTCCGGTTGACATGCGTCGCTCAGAAACGTCTTTGCTTAAACTCCCTATTTTCAGCTGTCACGAGCTGAAGAACGTACTCAGTATTCTGTAGCCTGCCAGGCTCTCTGCAGAAAGTTGGAACGTTGCGAAAATAAAACAAGCGACTTTTTACTGTACCACTGCATTACTATCTTGGAGTCTGGAATAGGCTGACTATTCTGTACAGTAAGAGCCACAGTTGAGACTGTGTCACGAGAACGAGAAAATAGGGACTGACGTAAATTTAAAGTTAATAGTAAAGTTGTTTCAGGAAATCGCGAGGAAAGTTCAAACGTTAGCATATACATTTATTGTGAGCTTCGTTTTTTTATTTATTTTCCGCGACTTGGGATCGAAGGACGAGTAAATCAAGACTAAATTTGGTGCAAAACAAGGGTAAGGTTGAAGCCCTTGAAACGAAAATATTGTTTCATCAGGGAAAAGAAAAACCGTTCTCGAAAGGTTTAAGCAAGCCCCCAGTATTAGACTCAGCAAATCCTTCTTTTTTTCAATTAGTTGAATTGTAGCTTTGCTCACTAAGTGTCTTTTCATCTCAGTTTGATCTTTTTTACAATCATTCACTTCCAGTGTCCTAAAAAAGATGAATTTAATTAATTGTATTGAGCTCGAATTCAGAAAATATGGGATTTGTTGAGATCGTGGGAGAGAGCAAGTCTAAAAATACCTCCTTACCAAGAAATATTTTGTGACGTCGTCAATTGTTTATTTGACTTTAACCCATTCGTCCCTGGGAAGCTAGTCGAGCAGTTGTCTAGTCATTGTCTGGCTATAAAGAGCTAAAGCGTACCACAAAGTTGTTTGCAGCTGGTACATTTCGCAGCCTTCTGATTCACGTGCAAAATATCAGCTTGCCAAGCTCGGGCATGCGCAGAAAGCAAAGCTTGTGGCTTTTAAAGTGACACAGCGGTCTTGACTTTTTCTTTGTACTTTCTTTCCTCTCCTCATCCTTCGCTTTTCTTGCGTTATTTTTTTTTTCTTTTGCTGGGCATTTAGTAGGCTTCATTTTATATTAGTCGGAAAAAACGTTCAAGGGAAACTATAATTTAAGATTTTGGGATTTTAGTTTCTCAAGTTTAATGTTGGTTGCTCAACTTACATGTTGTGTATACAATTAGAATGCAGCGCGCTCAATTTTCAAGAACGAGTGATCATGTTAAACGTTGGGAGTTTAAGTTGAATTATTAATTTTGAATATTGAAACGTGAAGTTGAAAGTTGGGTGCTCTAACTATGTTAGCCGCTCAAGCTGAATGTTTGTGTACTCAAGTTGATTTTTGGCGGGGATCATGAACACCATATATATGCATCCCGACCAGACATCCATATTTTGGGACCATGTGATTAGCCGCGTCCTTTTTCATGGGAGGAAAAGAGGGGGTACTGGGAAGGAAGATGGTTTGACGTTTGTAAAAGACCTAAAACATTGGTCTATTTTAGTGGCTGGTAGCTTCGCCGGTATTGAAATGTGACTGTATAAGTCATGTGTGGAAAAAAATCATTTCATTTATTTGATAATTCAGTAGTTACCAACAGATTCTAAATGCTGACGTGTATTAGCTTATCATGTTAAGCGATTAAACTCTTTAGCCCTTTCATCATGAAGCGAAGGAGACCAATTTCTTCTTGCCATGGATTTACCAATTAATTTCTCTTATGATTTACTCAAGCTACTTTCCGCCAATGTGTCTGGCTGAACTGAAATAATCAGCAACTGAAAATGAGCTGCTTTAAGCAGATTATGTGTTAAATTTTTCTGAAATAGGTTTCCAAATCAATACAGTTCAATTTAAAAATCACATTTTGCCCCTTGAAACCCACAGTAGAAAAAACATTCTTTCTTTCACTTTGTGCACACAGCACAAGTCAACTCTCGACCACTGACATATGGACCACACGGTAAGCTGCCACACTGTCCTTCCACAAGGTAGAGTAATGCACCATTCTTGTTCGCCTGGCTGCCAGGGATAGACTCAGCGTCTTTGTCAACGCAGATGAAATCACTTTGCTTCTTGTGGCCATAATATGCACTCATCAGGTACCCATGATATTCCTCGGTCCATCCAGTGGGGCAATCGTTCCTTGCAGGCATCATCAGCATCGAACCACGTGACTTGACAAAGCAGACAACGCAAGGTGGATCGTGTTCGTTAAGACTTTTCTTGAATGGGTTAAACGAGAGTTCGTACTCAGCGCCGTATACGTATCCGCCACCCTGGTGACCATCTTTGTACCTGTCGTACTTTGGAGTCTTTGGAAGGCAAAGGTAATTCACTCCACCTCCAGGGTGATTGTAATACTCTCCACCCATGATACCTAATAAGCAGAAAAGTTAGGGATACGCCGACTTCATTCACCTAAAAACTCTGAAAACATCCATTATGACGTTAAGTGAATAACATGTGAATTTAGAAATTCCAGTCATGAAGAACAATGCGTTCAAACTTGTAAGTAACAGTGTTGCGAACCATCTTCCTGTTAATGTTCTGAAAAACGCATTAACTTGGGGTAGAACTTAATAGCTTTGTTGGGCAATGTACCTTTGGCCCTAAAAGGCTACCATATGGTGTGCTATATAAGCTTCAAAATTAAAACTTGAATTATAATTAGAGGTATGAGGGATTCATAAAATCCTTGAACATGCTATCTCCGTCCCGTTGTTAGAGTAAAGAAAATGACGAGATATTGTCATCAATTTGTTTATGTTTCCTTGTTACTTTGATTTTGCTTTTGTTGGATACATGAATTAAATGAAGGACAAAGTCATCCCCTTTTTGTACCTTTATAGACAATCTGAGCACCATTAGGGCATGAGGTCTTTCCCCAGCGAACATACTTCACCCCAGAACTGGCAGCTTGTCCTTTATCGCCTTTAACTCCCTCAGCTCCCTTATCCCCTTTAGGACCTATAGAGGGACACAATTACGACAATTATTAACAATAATATTTATTCCTATGACCGTGTCTATCATGTGGGAATACTTCAGTGAAAGTTTGCATTTTGATTAGTTAAGATCAGAAGAATAATATCAACAAAAGCTGAGAGGCTCATTACAAAAGCTAAACATTAGACATTAACTTGAGTTTATCACGGACTAATTTGATGATATAAGTGTGAAGGTGAGGTAAGCTTTCTCACCTTACTTCCTTCTTACTGGCAGAACTATAACTAAGAGAGCTAGTACAGCTGTATTAGAATGTGCACCTCCATTTAACAACCTCATTTATAATTTGAAATAGTCCATTAGTTTAATGCCCTCCTAGTTGAATTAGCTTTTAGATATTTTCTATGAGGCAGCCCTATACCTTACAAAAAGTAGACAACTGGTAACGCCGACATAAAGCAGTAGACAAATCTTGCTTACCTCTTACTCCTGGTTTCCCTGGGGGTCCGGGTGGCCCCATTGATTGTTGTCCGTTATTGCGGCCATCTCGCACTGAAGCACGTATAAATTTAAGAGATACAACATGTATGTTCAAATTAAATAACAATAGCCAGAGATATTTAGGCGTTACATTGCGTCATTTTATTAAATAAAGGGGGCTTAATGGATGGTCTAAAAATCCGAATTCACCATATCCAACATTGAAAAATGAAACCAAATTTTCTTAAAGTAATAGACCTTATAATTGTGAGAGAACTGGGAATCGTCTTTCGATGTTGTTTGTTTGTTTTTGTTTTCTCTTTTGTGGTTCGTTAGTTAGTTCGTTCGTTCGTTTGTTTGTTTTGTTTGTTTTTTTCGCCAAAGGCTGTCAGCCCAATTTTTAGTTTGGGCAGCATTTGGTTGTGCTCTGTTACACGATCAATTGGCTAGTCAGTTTGGCCATTCCTTTTTTAACAATAGTGTACAAACCAAGTAGGTAGGACAATAGTGACGAGTCACTTGAGTGCGGTGTTTGCACCAATGCGTCGAGTCTGTAGAAAGATAAATTCATTGTTAAATCGCAAAGTTATACTACATGTATAACCAAAGACTAACAAGAAACTGTGAAGTTTCCATGGATAATTGATTTATTAATTCACTAACAGTATACGCACCGTTTTATAAACCGCTTTTCCATTTCTTGAAGTCTCTTCTCCATCAAGCTTGCACTTTTATTGTGTCTGTCAAGAAAAGAAAAAACTCAAAATAAAAAAAAGGCACTGTTCGAACACAAGCGTTAAATAATAATTATATTTACATTACCTCTGACACGCATCGCTATCAGCTATAAAATCCCAACTGTTACAGACTAGCAGTCATCCTTTAGTCGTAATTTAATTCTTACTTAGCCTTGGATCGGTCAGGAATAAAGCAAAATAAATGTCATTGAGATTCGACGATGAACCTATAATGAAACGAACGTCACAACGGATAACGAGAAAAATAAACCTACGGAGAGATGAAAATAAAGGAAAAGGAAGGAAATGGTAAAGGATTAGGAATGGACGGATAAACGAACGAACGAACGAACGAACGAATGAATGAATGAATGTAAATGTAAATGTAAATGTCGCGATTGAGAGGACAAACATACATGTCCTCTTTACATAGCTTTCTGCAGTGGGCTCGGACATCAGCATACTAAGGGCGCCGATGGCAGCCGCTATCAGTCCATTTATGAGCCCACTGAACCCTCCCAACCCATGATGAGTGATGATGTAAGTGATGAAGATAGACCACAACACCGGGAACTACGTCCCCTACTCTTTTCGAATAGTGTGTGGGTTCTTTAACGTCCCACAGAGTTATATGTGAACAAGGTTTGCGAGACGGGACCTCCGGTTTATCGTCCTTATCCGAGAAGACTTGAAAGTCTAATCATTTGCAGATGTCATTACAAAGACAGCACTTTCTCCTCAGTTATTTTTAAGACCCTGAGTGTTGGTCAGGCCAGGATTCGAACTCGCGACCTCCCGCTCAGCAGACCGGCGCTCTCCCAACTGAGCTAACCGGGCGGCGGTTAAATGAATTGATAGGATGGATGGATAGTTGGATGAATGAATGAATGAAGGAAGGAAGGAAGGAAGGAAGGAAGGAAGGAAGGAAGGAAGGAAGGAATGAATGAATGAATGAATGAATGAATGAATGAATGAATGAATGAATTGATGGATACGATGGATGGATGGATGGGGGGAGGGAGGGAGGGAGAGATAACCTAATCACCCCTGGAAACTGATAAATGATCGCGGATTGGTGGTTAATTATCAGCTACAAGCCTGCCCTGTTTAGTTTTCTATCGGTGTCGTGTTAATGTCTTCCAAAGTTTATATCAACTTAACACGATCAGCTTTGCAGATTTATGTTCTTTTGGTATATTTTTGCTTATCAGATTTCCTTTAGATCCTACGTCCTGCGAAATATTCGCTTGCGGTCCTTTGAAGTTAATGCCATTTCAGTTGTTAAATTTTAGCTAAAAACCCTGCTAGAAAATTTCACTGTGTTCAATGGACTAAAGATACGGAGAGATTATTGAAACAAGCTTCCTTTTCGAAAAGGCCTCTTTTTTGGGCTATTACTTTTTTCGATTCTTTGTGTTTTGCCTGGTATACGCCTTCTTCATCAGCCCTTATAGATCCATTCGGTGATGATATTTTTCTTTATGGCTCTTCCATTTTACTCAGTTTAGACTGTTTTTGAAAGTTGCTAATTTTTCCAAGTTTCGATGTCTCCATAGATCACACGCCTTAGCTTGTGTTTTAGACCATCTCTTGAAAATAGACAACTTTTTCCACTAACTATAATATATATGCGAGAATTAATAGCTGCTGGTGGCCGGCGTGATAATTCAGGGGCACCCAACTAAGGGGTTTCTTCTAAAAATACATTGAAAACGCTTTTTAGACTATATATAGAGATTACTTTTACATCTCTTGACATTTTATTCTAAGCGGTGCTAATAAATTTATATCTGTTCGGTGTCATCCTAGGGCTACTAAAGCCTTTTTTAAATTTACAATGGCCTCAGTATATTTTCTCGAAAACTTTACGAGGGTGAGAATTTTTCCGAATATGAGCAGTTACAGTTGATAAGATTGCACAGTAATTTCGCAAAGAATCTCAGTTGCATAAAAACTAGTGTTCCAGTCAAAAAGTATCACCGCTCTGATAAATTGAAAAACAAAAACGGCAAACGAAGAGCTTACCTTTCTTCTATGGCTCTTAGCCTTTTTTGTACCTCCGACAGACTGGCCATCACATTATTTTTAGCTGATTTGCGCTGACGATGCAACAAGGTACGTTTTTCACCATCGCCAATTTTAGCGCCATCGTCAAACACTCGGTCGACAATTTGTTCTCTTTGACTTTGCTCGGACCGAATTTCATTCGTGGCAGAGAGGTGAACCAAAATGGCACAGTACATCACAAACAAAGCCACGAGACGCAGACTGTAACGTGTAATTACCGTCGGGGAAGCTTTCATGGCGACTGGATGAGTTAATACAACGAATAATCCGTTGAATTTGACGCAGAAACAGATGAGCCTTTCACTTATACCACAACTGAAAAGCTGTGATATGTAGTAGCCAGATATCATAGGAAAGAACATCCACCAGGTTAATATAAGCATGAAATTTTTCGCGCTTGTGACGTAACACAGTCAGAAGGAAGTAAAAATGGAAGGGTGGGGAGAGGTGGGGGGGGGGGGGGAGGGGTTTGGGGGCGGGGTTTGGGGCACTGTAAAAAAAGGGGGGGCCTTAAGTAAGGAATTTTTTTTTTTGGAAAAGGGGTTTTAATTTTTCGGGTGCCCCCCTTCATTTTAGTAGAATTAGTTTTATTTGAATATTTTTTCATCCGACGTGTATTTTTGTGCGTGTTGCCAAATTAAATTTTCATAATTTGTCAAACAGTATAATAAATTAGACTGTCTTTAAATTCAAAAGGTTATAAGTACGTTGAAATATTTGGCACCTTGGGCGTAAAAATGCAAAATGAAAGAAAAAAAGGGTGGGGGGGGGTGGGGAGGGAGGGGGGGGGAAGAATTTGGAGCCGGGGATTGGGGCACTGTCAAAAAAATGGGAGTCCTAAGTAACGCAATTTTTTTTATGGAATAAGGGTATTAACTTGTCTGGTGACCCCCTTCAATTTAGTTAGTATAGGTTTATTTGAATACTCTTTCATCCGACGTGTATTATGGTGCGTGATTCCCAATTAAATTTGCATCAATTGTCGAACGGCATAATCAAATAGAGTGTCTTTACATGCATATGATTCCCACTGTTTTTACGGACGATAAAAAACAACTTTTAATAAAAAATGCATCCATACTAAGTTCTGAAGAATTGTTAATTTTATTTATCTTTTATACAGCACTGCGTTATTATCACACTGTATTGCGTGGTATAATTCGCATTAATCGGCTCTACCTATAATGCTACTGTCAGTAAAAGTAAATACCATACGGCAGTTAACAACGTTTGATTAGCATTTTCTCACGGCGCGATGGAAACGAGCGAACTAAAATACTGAAGTAAAATAGTTGCATCCTGCTAAAACGATTGACTTTTGTTTAACATTGTATATGAAAACCCATAACAGCAATCGAAATACATGAACATGATTCAGATGATTGTGCAGTCAGTCACCTGGGGAAAGCGAACTTATTAGTAATACTTTATCCGTATAGAGACGGGAGAGAAGAAATGACTGTGCCTATTTTAAATAAAGGGACAACCCGATTTTTCTGATTCCAGAGCGCAAAAAGTTGACCGTAACTATTTTCCACAACTTTCTAACCTAGTGGACAAATCTGAGTTCGACCCCGCGTAAGGAGTACGCACGAAAAGAAAACTGAAATACATAAACAAATAAATAAATAAAAATTATAAATAAAAAAAGGAAGAAAGCAAGGAACTGAAAGCGGGTGATCCTGTAGCACGCTAACCTGCGATCAGTCGATCCTTCTTAGTTTTTCTGACCTCCCAATAATTCGTAGACTGCGAATACAGCCGCCGCCGGGAACGTTCGGCGAAAACATCCATTCAATGTGCGGGAAATGAATGAATGAGAAACGGCTGTATTCGCAGGCTAGACAATTTGGAACCGCCTTCTGCCAGTGACAGTAGCTCGATGAAAAGTATTGTTCTCGATGAAATGAGTTTAGAATTGTTAGGAGCCTTTTGGAACTGTAGAACTAACACACTACCACATGAAAGGACACTCAGAGTCACAACAGATCTTGGCCAAACTATGAGTATTAATTTATAAGAATTTAACGTGAGTCCGATAATAAAGCAAAGTCATTGTGAGTCCCAGTTCATTACATATTGCGCAAGCAATTGCCTCATTGTCACACCACTTTGTCACGTGAGGTCGCGAAAACTCTTTTCATACAGTACAGCGGACTTCTAAGTGAGCAAACCTGTTGTGTAAGCTGAACATAAAATGTACATTTTCAACGCGGCGGCCAACCTCGTTCCCAGGGTTCTCTCCTACCCGCCTTACGGAGCGAGAGAGAAAGAGAGAGAGACTTTAGGAGCAACCCTGGGAACGAGGTTACTCACCGGTCTAAGATACTTGAGAGCAGCAGTTCATCGGAATTCAGCTGTCACTGACGGGCTGAAGAACTTACTCAGATTCTGTAGCCTGTGCCAGGTTCTCTGTAGAAAGTGGAGACGTCGCGAAAATAAAACAAGCGACTTCTTACTGCACCACTGCATTACTATCTTGGAGCCTGGGACAGGCTAACTAGAGGGTGCTAACCGGGGGGTACCAAATTCCCAGTTAACTACCATTTTTTCGGCCGAATATCAGTTAACTACTAATTTTTGTTAGCTATTAACTTTCACTTTCCAACAGCGAATATTATTCCGTCATAACCCGAATTTTTCTTCCTTCAGCAAGTAAATCACTTTGGGGAGTAGGCCCTACTAAAATCAAGGTATAAATTTGCAATGAACTCTGCCACTAGTACAATTTATTAGTAACTGAAAATGTAAGTCGTATAACCATCAATGTGACACCGGCCTCATAGATCCAGACACACCAGTCATGATCTCGTGACTGATCTTCCCGACATGGCCTTGCATGTCCTGCCATAAACTACTTCAAAGTCACCTTCTTCGGCACTTTCATTATCTGATCGGAATCAGTCGTGTACTTATCGGGTTGCTGTATGTCCTGTATCTTGTTGTTGGCCTAAGTTTCAATCCGTTTTTAATCCTTGCAATCCATTGCAACAGACGACGAGAAATATTATCAATGCCAAAATATAGTCTTAAATAACAAACTGGACTATGAATATTTTTGGAATTCAATTGGTGAATTCAATCCCTGTTTGCACCGATGATAGAGACATAGTTGAGAGTGCTGACAAAGTCATGAAAGTATTTGACACGGGACAATTCGACTTTTCGTGAGTGTAGCCCACTTCGAACTCTTAGTTCTTTTAAGCGATTCCTTTACTGTGATTCCAAAGTCTTAATTGAGCGTATTTCAACGCACTAAATGTTCTGTGTTGAAGTGAGAAACCGCGTGTAGGTTTTCCACCTGCGTTGTCAAAAGTTTTTTGTACCTCGATACAAATTTTGTCAATATCCTCTTCCTCGTCCCTCAATGTTACCTTTTTCGCGGACGTAACTTTTTCGCGTATTTCTAAACCCTGAAAAAGATATCCAAGGGTTTTAAGACAGATGAAATGAAACTGCCGAAACTGTTTCAGAAAGACCTGTTTAAACACGAGCTTTTCTTTCTATTATAAAAATTCTCAAAAGTTAGAACTCCAACATCAGTTAAAAAAATAATTTGTGGTAAGTACAAATTCCATGTACTTAAAAGAAAGATTGCTGATTTCTTTGAACCCTCAGAAATTCTTTTCTTTTTGGCCAAATCCAATGCTAAGAGTCACAGCTTTTTTATTCGGGTAGTAATGTTTGACTTGACGATCTTTTGGGTCCGAAAAATAGTATTTTCTATTTCCGAACACAGAAATCTTGTTAATATTATAGAAGACGAATTATTCGTTGAGTTGTCTACAACCAGCTCTTTGACTGACGCTTTGTGCAGTTTGTCGGGTACTGCCCTGGTGCCTTTTGCACATAGTAATATCAGTTAATGTGCCACCGGGTCGATCAGCGGGACAGAAAAATGTCAGAAAATAGCATTTCTGTTTGCAAAACTTTGTTGCTTTCATTAACATATTAATATAATATCACTTAACTGTTAACTTTTCATTTATCAGTTAACTACTAATTTTTTCACCAGTTATCAGTTAACTATTGTTTTTTTGGCCAAATATCAGTTAACTATATCAACCCCATTCGCACTCTCTAACTATTCTGTAGAGTATTAAAGTTGAGACTGCGTCACGAGAACGAGATAATAGGGACTGACGTAAATTTAAAGTTAATACCCGCCGTAACTAATCACAAGTTAGGTAATCGAACCCCATCAAACTACAACCATTCGATTGACTTCGATTGGGTTCGGTAATCGAACTTAATCGAACTCACTCCAAAATTTTTTCAATCACAAAATCGAACACCGCAACAACCGAACATAAACCCAGTTTCATCTGGTTTCAAACAGGGGGTTGCGTTCAAATAAGTTATGTATCAATTGGCTTCAATTTCAAACACGAGTCCACGAGTACGCAAAGATGTCACAGAGGGCGGAAAACGAATTCGCCGTCTCTGTCGCTGTTATTTCTTTTATATTTAATGAAGCATTGTAACGCCAAAAGTGTGGCTTGTATTGCTTCTGCTGTTCAACAGCTTTCAGAAACGCCGCTTGTACTTTTAAGAGACATTTACTTTGATGTTATGAGAGCACGGTAGCGCTAGTAATGACTATTTTGTATATGCTCCACACTGTTGCGTGTGCTCAGATCCTGTTAGTTACAAAGGCCTTTTTTTCCGTATCGAAACATTATCGAAGAAGATTTGATTTTTCTGGTACCTTAAGAATATCCCCAGTCAGTCAATTTTAGATGGTTTTACTGTGCAGTTCAATGTTTCGCACTATCAATTGTGAATTTGTCGTTTTTGAGTCACTTTCACTATAAAGATTTCAGTTAACTCCGGGATAATTGAAATATTTTTCTCTTCAAACTGCTTCACGCACATACTAGAGGGAGATCTTTCCGATTCAATTGAAACTGGATGCGTTGCCTTCTGCCGAACAAAATCAAACTAATCGCGTCGATTGAGTTCGATTGGTTCGACTGAGTTCGGTAATCGAACTCACCGAAAAGTTCTAGTTCGATTATGTTCGATTACCGAACCAATCGAACAACAATCCGACCGATTTAGTTTGAAAGAGTTCGATTGATTTTTGGTTCGGTTTTGTTCTATTTAGTTATACCCCGCGTTTTAATTATAGTAAAGTACGTTGTTTCAGGAATCGCAAGGAAAGTTCAAACGGTAGTATTATGATATGCATTTATTGTGGAGCTTCGATTTGTTTCATCACGTTTAATTTGTTACTGTTATTTCGCGCGACTTGGGAAGGACGAGTAAATCAAGACTAAATTTGGTTCAAAACAGGGTAAGCGCGAAGCCCTTGAAACGAAAATATTGTTTCATCAAGGAAAAGAAAAAACGTTCTTGCTAGGAAATCTTATTTCGTCATGAA